GTTTCAAAATTATTAGATTTTTAGTCATTATATTCTGTTCGTATTATATTATACTGTATTCTATATACTACATATATGGTCGTGCATCGCACGGGTGCAAATACTAGTATCTATAATACTAATCTAGTACCCGATCACATATATTGTTGTGTGTGCGTGCCTATATATATATATATATATATATATATATATATATATATATATATATATGATTTACCGTTCATAGAAATTTAATTAAAATATAATAAATAATTAAAGTAATTATATAATGATTTTAATAAAATAATAATTAAAGAATAAGAAAAAAGATATATGTGTATGATCATACTGATAGAGTTATGAAAGTTAGAATTAAATAGTAACGGTGTTATAACGGTATAAGGGTACTTTTGTCTAACAAGAATGTAGTAGGGACAATTGTATCCATTATAATTGAAGTGTACAACATTTAATGAAAAATGTATACCTTTATTAGCATACAAATGTAAATATGGATATAAATGTAGCTATAGCTTAATGGGTAAAGTTCTTGCTTTATAATTAAATTAAATGATTAAGGGTTTAAACCTCACTTTGAACATTTAATACATTATATATTTATTATTATTAAAAAAACAAAAAACCGATCGGGTTTTCGGTTCCGATTTTAACCCGAACCAATCGGTTTTCCTCAAACCAAGTACCGATCGGTACTTCGGTTTGAAACCGAACCGGTTCGGTTCAGGCCCAACCCTAATTATTATCATCATCATCATCATCATCATAATAATAATAATGGTAATTAAGAAAAGTTGGTGAGAGCATAATTCTCCTACTTGTTTTCTATGAAAAACAAAATACCAAGGGGGACATGGAAAATGTTTTCCTCATTTTTTAGGAAAATGTTTTCCATGAACTAAACAAAGGAAAATCAAGTTTTTCTCAAATTCAAGGAAAATATTTTTCTTGGAAAACACTCTCTAAGGGAGAGTTTGGTAAATACTTGTTAAGTCTCCATCTCAACTAAAAGCCTAAGCTGATAGTTGGATTGCACATTAATGTGTTACGCCTCCTCACGTGACACATGGACCGTAGTCGCTTAGAGATTCGAACCTTTGGTCTGATTCTATTACCAAATTGAAACATGTGCTCCATCTCAATTAAAAGTCTAAGCTGATAGTTGGATTGCACATTAATGGTTATACGCTCAATAGTGTTGACAATTGTTGACGACTCAAGGTGTTTGGTAATGTTTGGAGCCGGAGCCTTGAGGCTTCCTTTTTAATACCTATCCGAGTGGGACATCGGATGGGTATTGTAATTTTTTTTTTTTTTTTGTTATTATTTTTTAGGAAAATCGGTATTGAACTTTTAACGAGGGCATTCCCTCCTTCATGGGTTTGTAATGTTTGTTGTCGATGTGGGACCCAAGGTGTGCAAACTTCGGATAATTTTTTATTAACTGACCGAACCGACAAAGTTTGGTTAACCGTTTTCGAACCAAATTTTTTCGATTCGGTTAATGGTTGAAGGAATTTTAAAATTTCGGTTAACGGTTAATTCGGTTCAAAAGATCGATTAACTGTATTAACCGAAGTTTTTAATATATATATAAATAATAATATAAATATAAATACTAATTTGAAGTTAGGGATGTTTGGAGTTTATAAATTAATATTTTTGTATATTTTTTATGAATTTATTATGATATGTATTTTATTTTAATTGGATTTATTATTTTAGGTGTTATTTTTAGAATTTTAAATTTTAGCTTTAAAATGTTCGGTTAATCAGTTAACCGAAAAAAATTTCGGTTCGGTGAATTCGGTAGAGCAAACTTCGGTTCGGTTAACGGTTAAAGGGAAAAAAAACTTCGGTTAAAACGGTTCGGTTCCTATGTGGGACAAAGTCACAAAGAGGAGCTTGCGCAGCTCTCCTTTGTTTTGTTTTGTTTTGTTTTTTGTTTTTTTATTTTTTGTTTTTTGTTTTTTTTTTTGTTTTTTGTTTTTTTATTTTTTGTTTTTTGTTTTTTTTTTTGTTTTTTGTTTTTTTATTTTTTGTTTTTTGTTTTTTTTTTTTTGTTTTTTTGTTATTATTAGTACTATATTATGGAGTATTAATTTATTATTTATTTATTTATTTATTTATTTATTTATTATTATACAATGTTTTTATAGGTCATTTTACATGTTAACTGCTAACATTCAATAGCTAATTTTACCAAGCATCTTTCTACAATCCGCTAGTCAAACCCGCTAATACAATTCACTATCCACTAACCGCTAACTGCTGATTACCAAACAAGGCCTTTCTCAAAAAGTTGATCAAAAAAGTTACTTTGAGCAACTTTTTTGAATTTTAGCGTTTTGGAGCAATAAGCTATTACAAAAAGTTAATTAATCAAACACTCATATTGTTGTTTAATCAAGTCAAACAACTATAATGGTCAAACAAGTCAAAATTGACTGATAAGCTAACTATTTTACCAAACAGGACCTAAATCAAGAATAAAATGTTTATTACTTATATGAAAAAATGTAATACTTTTACATTTTGATGTAAAATTATTACATTTTCCTTTATAAGTGCAACATTATTTATAAGGGAAAATATATTACTTTTGATAAAAATGTAATACTTTTAATCAAAATATAAAAGTATTATATTTGTCTTCAAAAGTATTATGTTTTCCCTTATAAGTAACAAATATTTTATTCCTAATTTAGTATTACATTTGTTAGTATAAGTATTACATTTGCATATTGACCCGACCCATCTCACAGATAAGGATACGTGACCGGTCTCACACAAGTGTATTTAGAAAGTAAATTAAAATTAAAGAGTATTGAAAAAATAATCACTAGTACAAAATTGTACATTTGCTACACTTGTATAAGGCTTTCAGAAAGTGTCGCGGAAACTTGATGCGGTTTTTTTAAATAAAACAACGGTGTCACTTTTGTTTAAAGCGTGTCGCGATTTCTTATTAATTTATTTACAGTTATATCACCACACTTTTTTTTTAAACCATACACTACACTTTTTAAAGAAAGTGTAGCGAAAAGTAACATTTATATGCTCTTTTTTTTGTACTAGTGATCTAGTGGATGATGAATTAAAATTGTAATGATATATATATATATATATATATATATATATATATATGGAGAAATAGTAGAATTAACTTTTAAAAGGGGGAGTATTTAGGTATGCACATAACTAAGTATCATTCCTATCCCTAAGAGCTAGGAATGAGAATTTTTTTATTGACTTTGTGGGAATCCTTGATTCTACTCCAACTAGGATGAAGAGTTGGGCTGTTTTTATCCCTGCAAACATCTCCCACTCTTATAAATAGGTCCCATTTCCACATCATCCCATTTGCAAATCATTTACTATTCACACTACATCCCTACAAATCTAATCAACCTTCAAAAGTGGGCCCAATATATTAAAATAACATTATTAATTATATTAAAATATTAAAAAGTACAAAAAATCAAATAAAATTAAAAAAAAAATACAAAAGTTGCCGCGGCAGCTTTTTCAGGGTTTGCAAATTTGCTTGCAGTGCAAATTTGCAAACCCATTTCATTAAAAGATAAATAAATAAAAAATGTATATGTGGCTTTGCCACATCACTTTGCAAAGGAGAGTTTGGCTGGGATGTGGACAGCCTTATATCTATTCCCTGTCAGGAATGAGGAATTGAGAATATTTGTCTCGATACATTGATTATGATATTGATGAAGTTACAAAGAAATGAAAACTTAATTGCTATACTAATATTTGAATGTGGTATTTTGGATTATGAATTTAATATTTGATTTTTAACTCAAATATTAAATTTTGTACTAAATTACTAGTTTGATTATGTGGAATCGAGGTGAGATTCTCCATCTATGAAAATTACTTGCTCGAACAAAGATCAGGAAAATTTATATTCCTTGGTGAGAATGGGGAGTGGGGGAAGGTCAAGGGGGACACCGGACATGAAGTACTCTTTGCTCCCGTTTCATTGCCATTTGCCACCCCTAGGTAATCTCATGATCTATAATTCTTTTTTTAAAATGATTATGAACTAATAATTAAGGATGATGATGGCAAGATACCCACCCGTTTACCTATTCGTGAAATTACGTATTATTTTACTTACCCAAACCTAACTATCAACTATTTGGATATTCATATTACCCAACTCGTTGTCATCACTCATCAACACAAAATAGTGCTCCTTTGCTTTAAAGTAACTACTTTGAACTGAATATTTGTATGTATTCCAGTGGAAAATCCCTTTAGTCTACCACTTGGTTACAGAGGACAATACAAAGAAGCCACTTACGTAACTCACTTGATTCTTAGGGACATATTTCATTTAATGACAAAACAATAAACATTGGAAGTATTTACTTCAACAAGAAGGTGAGAGTTTGATTCCTACCGAACACATAGGAGTCACTAGGAGATCTAAAATTTAAAAAAAAAAAAATTAATCAGATCGAGATGATGAAGACTATACGCAGAGTATACATGCAAGAACGAAAACTCATGATTTACCTCTTCCAGTTCTCTTGAACAGGGGGTTTTGAGGGTTTCGAATTAGGGTGTGTTTGGAAAGCACAAAAATGTTTTATGAAAAATGAGTCATTTTTTAGAAAATATTTTCTTTTTCCGTTGCATTTCAGAAAACTGTCTTGGTGTGTCTGTTCATTTTCTGAAAAATGAGCACAATTATTTTTAATTTAAAATATTTAAAATATACAATAATGATGGTGATGGTGGTGGGGTGATTGACTGCTCCACCATTGCAATAGGAAAATGAATTCCCAAAAAAAAAAAAAAAAAAAAAATCATTTTTCGAAAAATCCATTATATTTTCCATTAACCACACACCTATTTTCCATTGACTTCCATTTTCCTTTCTAGCCAAACACTGAAAACCTGTCCAGAGTTTCCAAACGACCCCTTAGTCTAAGGTTAGAAAAAAGAAAAAAGAAACAGAGGATAAGACATGAGCAATGGCAGATCTGTGTTTCATCTGAAATTGAGTCGAGTCTAAGAACTGGTTTGGGGAGGATAACACGAAACAGTGAAATGCAACTGAAGATGAGATGTGACCAATGGGTGAGCTGTGCAAAGCACTTCCCCCGCCGGGCCACCGCCCCCGGTCCTGCATGTGCGCCATGTGTACGGCCGACATGGTCCACATGGATCAGATTATCAATCACAAATATACAAGTAGTCGATCGGAAACCAAACCTGTCATCCACCTTTCTCAATTCAACAACGCTCGCTGTCTTCTTCTATATGCGCTTTCATAATCCGCACTAAAGCAGCACCAGTACGTTTTTTTTTTTTTGCGGGGATTGAGGTTGTTGTCGGCTAACAGTTCCGGGTTTTAGTGGCGTTTATGGGTTTCCAAAGTTTAACGCACTTTTTCGCAATTATTGTTGTTTGTAGTTCCGTGGCCATGATTAGTCTTTCTGTTTTCCACCCAAATGTTGCTTGCTTGCCTTTCCAAAGGGGAAATCTTTATTATTATAATTACTGTTTTTGTTGCCCAGTTCTCTCTCTCTCTTTCTATATGTAAAGCTTTCTGTGCGCAGACGAATGAAGCAGAAACAGGCGTCTCTTCTGTTGTTGCTGGTTGAATTCTTGGGTAATTGTCATCCTTAACTGCTGCCATGGCCACCTCTTCTTGCTTTGCCCTCCCTCGAATCTCCATTCTTCCATCCGAGGTATGGCCTGGGGCCTCTTCACTTTCCTTTTTGCCATTCTTGATTTTGTGGTCTTGAGGTGGAATTTGTTAGGGAATTCTATGGTTTTCTTTAATTCGGTGGGTGGGTGTCTGGCTAGGTTTGGAAGTTTCGATTTTGTAACTGCTACTGTGTAAATTTCTAGGGATTTTGAGGCATTTTTAGGGAATTGCTTTGGGTGATTATACTTTTCTGTTTGGTTACTTGGTTTTCTTCCTATGTTTGCTTCAATGGTAGGTAAGATTTGTTAGTATTTTTTTTTTCGGGGGCTGAGTTGGGTTGACGAGTAAAACCGCATCAACTACCCACTACCCGTAGGTTGCTCATAGCTGATCGACTCATAAACAAAGAATGCCAGTAGGTCGCTTTCGTTGTGAGTCAAACTTTTAACATTTTGGTTATCAAGTCAACAACCCAGACAGAGTTGCCTCCTATGCCGGGGCAGTTTCTTTTGATTGGGTTAGGTAGGTTTTGTTATTTTTTGAATTTCTGTAGATTTGGAAGTCTTACTATTGCTGTTGGTAATTGGTAAAGGCTGGCTTATATTTCCTGGGAATTCACTTGAAGCTTTGAATATGCTATAAAATGGCATATACTTCTGGGAGGTTTTGGGGCACAATTCACTTGCCATATGCTTTTGGTTTAGGTGATTGTAATTTTTCTCAGGAATAACAATTGTATGGGCTACCTCTTGTAGCTCAAACACCCAAGATTGGCTTCAAGGATTGCAGGCGAGGTCCAGGGAAATGGGAGCTCAATTGTTGCTCTTAGAACTGCAAACTACAGACTTATATGCCGAGTTGGGGAAACAGTAGGGAAGCTGAGAAATGACTACTGCAGCTTTCTTGGGGGTTCGAAGGTCCCCGTTCTACCTGTGGTTGGAAAGAAATGCTTGCACAGAAGAAGCTTAGTGGTGTCTGCATCATGTAATTTACTCGTATCTTTTAGTTTAAACCTTGGGTTAACATTTTAGATGCTTCTTATTCTAGATATGATTGGTGCAAAAAAACATTTTATGATGTTTTTTGAAGCTTTGAGAAGGATTTCATTAGCTCCCATTGGTAAATTTGCGACAACTTACTACTATGTTCTTGTCTTGCAGTGTTGCCAGCTTCTCAAATTGCTAGCAGCGCTTTTACATGGGGAACCATAGCTGTTCTTCCATTTTATACTCTCATGGTTGTGGCGCCCAGAGCTGAGTTGGTAACTTTCTCATTTACATCCGATCTATATATATCTAACAAATAAAATATTTCCATTGCTATTTTCCCCTCTTAAGGCCGAGCTTACAAATATGTAAAACCCCTTCATTGACAGCAATTAATCGGTTAAATTTTGTTATGTGAACTTAAAACGAAGCTGATCTTGGCCAGTGATAAGGATATATTTGCAGGGAAAGGCCTGATCTGGAACTAAACATATAATGTCAATTCTTTAACCTTGTAGTTGCAAGTTGTGTCATAGATAGAATGCTTATTGCTTGTTTAAAATGCAGACCAAAAACTTAATGGAAAGTGGCATACCTTTTATTGCGCTTGGACTATTGTATGGCTATCTTCTATATCTCTCTTGGACGCCTGATACGATACGGCTGATGTTTGCTAGCCAATACTTGCTGCCAGAGGTGTGTACTCAACTACTCCATATAAAGTAGAATTTATCTCGAATTCCTTTTTTCGGGGGAATGGTGTTTTGTTTTATTCTTTTTTAAATGAGAACAGAACAAGAAATAATGAATTTAAGCGCACAATATTCTCTCATGTACTATGCCCAGCTTCCAGGTATAGCTAGGATGTTTGCCAACGAGATGACATTAGCTTCTGCATGGATCCATCTCTTGGCTGTGGATCTTTTTGCTGCAAGGTACCATCTTATGTTCTTAATACATATATACGCGTATTTCCACCATTTTTCTTCCTCTCGTTTATTTTAGGGAAAAGTGTGATTTTGATCTTCAATAGTTAGCGTTTAGTCTTTTTAGTTACGGACTATCATGAGTGAGCAAATGTCACACTCAATTATTCCAGATTTTAGGCATTCTGCTAACGGGTTTAAAGAAGCATGTTAGGGCTGTGAAAGTATGTGCATTGCATGCTAAAATAATATGGAGTTACACATGTTTTTCAAGCCCTAATGAAGTTTTTTTTGGGACCGTTAGCAGAGAACTAAAATCGTAACGGTTTGAAATAATTGAGAGTGACATTTGCTCCTTTATGATAGTCAAGGGCTAAAACAACTATAAACACTAGCAATTGAATGGTCAGAATCACACTTTTTCCTTTATTTTTTTTTTTTTCGGGGATAGGAAGGATGATGCCAAGACAGGTACTGTAAATTCTAATGAATGGTGAATGATGTTTAACAGGCAAGTATACCAAGATGGACTGCAGAATGATGTGGAGATCCGGCATTCTGTGTCGCTATGCTTGCTCTTTTGCCCCATTGGAATTCTTGTTCATTTCATAACCAAAGCTCTACCCAGAAATCCTGAGAAAAAGGAAAGCACAATTCATTAACAGATGAACAATTCATTTTTACAGCATTGTTGCCTAGTTGTAGCTCTCAGCTCGGTGTATAATTGCTTCAATGGAGACATTTTAGAGCTATACAAGCGCGCTCTCTCTCTCTAATGTAACATTTTACCATGGATCATTGGATGTATAAGACTTCTTCTCTGAGTTGCACACCAAACTTGTGATGCACCATTTCCTTAACCAGAGCTATAAGCTGTAGCATGTTGTGAGAAGTTGCGCCCCCGCGGTTTATGAAGAAATTTGCATGCCTTTCTGAGACCATAGCCTCCCCAATTCTGAACCCTTTCAATCCAGCCCTCTCAATCAGTTCTCCTGCTGAAACATCCAAATCAGATGGATTTCTGAACACTGAACCTGCACTTCTCTCTCCCAGTGGTTGACTCCTTTTTCTTCTTTAAAATACACAAACATGAGCCAAACGTACATCAAAATTAATCAAATGATGCATTCCATTTCAACTAAAACTTCATTTTATATACACCTAGACATAGTCCTACCAAATTGAAGACCGTATTTCGCTTCAACTAAAAGTTTAAGATGATAGTTCGATTACATATTTATATTTTATATATTAAATGTTGTCATGCTATAGACTCTCGGATGAAAAATAGTAAAATATCGAGAAAATTGCAACATCAGGTATAACTATAACTTAAGTACGAGAGGTGAGCACGACCAACAAGTAGAAACAAATCCTTCCTACAATTAACGAGTTTTTTGCACTTTTTTGGTCCCACTACTATAGTGACACTATCAAAATTGATCCACGACTTTCAGACCTTGCAATTTTAGTCCATGACTATTGTTTTTTTTTGGCAAAAATGGTCCTTCCAGCCACTCCAAAATTCCACCGGAGTAAAATTTTTTCATTTGTAAGAGGGCTAAATTTGACATGTTTAAGAGGGCTTGTATTACTCATTGTTTGCTGCCATATTTTGCAATAAAGAATTGTTTTAGATCTAGAAAGAATTGTTAAGGGAAATGTCAAATTTAGCCCTCTTACAAATGAAGAAATTTTACTCTGATGGAATTTTGACGAAAAAGTGACCGGAAGGACCATTTTTGCAAAAAAAACAATAGTCGTGGACTAAAATTGCAAGGTTTGAAAGTCGTGGATCAATTCTGATAGTGCCACTAATGTCATGGGACCAAAAGTGCAAAAAACTCTACAATTAACGGATAAAAAGTCTAGGGTCCGTTTACAAACAGAAAACTGTTCTCTCTCTGTTTTCTGTTTTCTAATTTTTCAGTTTTTATTCTCTATTTTCCATTCCCTGTTTTATGTTTAAAAAACGTGTTTAATAACAGAAAACTGTTCTCTGTTTTCTATTTTCTAATTTTTCAGTTTTTCACCTAAAATTTAGTTTAGATAATAATAATATTTTTTGAGCTAATATTTAAATATTATTTTTGGATATATTGTATTATGATGTAACATAATAAAAATATTTGAACTAATAATCTATTGAGTTCAATCAAAATCTAAAACATTATATAGAGTTTAATTCTTAATTTTGATAATGTAAATAATGTCTAACTTTAAAGTGTAAGCAAATAAATAATGTTTAAATAAGTAAAGTAAAAAAGATAAAGATAGTGATAATTAAAATAAGATGATAATGAATGTAGTCATAGTAATGGGGTTATAGTGACATATAACTAAATAGACGATAAATGATTCTGTTTTCCATTTCGAAAACAGTTTTTAAGTGTCTCAGTTTTTCAAAAATTTTCAGAAATTATTTTCAGTTTTCAAAATGAAAAACTGTGTTAGTAAACATGTTTCTGTTTTCTATTTTTCAATTTCCGGACAGTTAGTAAAAGGCCCCTAATTTTCCATAAAATATCACATTGTAAAGGATAAGAGCATACCTTTCTAAATATTCCATTTGTTTTTCTTTGGCATCTTGAGAAAACTTGAGCTTGAATGTAACTGCAGTGATGGATGCCAGGTCCTTCATCCCTTGAAACGGCGATGACCGATAACCGAAATCCAGGTCGGGCTTTCCTAGTACCCGAGTTTGACCGCCGGTGGTGATTATTTCGACAGTATGAATACAGTCACCGGCCTCCTTCATATCATGAAAAGAAAAGGGAATGGCTTCATGAATTCTTCCACCAAATTGCATTTTTTAGGTGTTTGCAAATAGTTGCTTAAATCCTAATATGAGTTTTTTCCAATTTTTGGTCACTTTACTATAATACATTTCTCAAATTAGATCTCCAATTATCAAGATTTTCAATTTTGGTGCATAATTATTCAATTTTTTTTTTTAAATATAACTCTCCTAATCTCATTGAAGACTTTACCTGGCTATTTGCACCGGCGTTCATGTAAGCAGCGCCACCAACAGTCCCGGGAACACCGCCGGCGAATTCTAGCCCGGTGAAGCCTTCACTCGCGCTCTGCAGGCCAAGACGGTTAAACGGATATCCACTTCCGACCCGATAAACTCCGGGTTCCACCTTCTCCAGAAACTCGATCCGGTTGAGTATAACGCAGCCATCGAATCCCTCGTCGTCGAAAAGACAATTTGAACCTTTCCCAACGACCAAAACCCTCTCAGAACGCTCTCTACAATACCTGAGCAGTGAGCAGTAAAATAGGTAAATGGAATCGCATTTCACAGAGAAGAATCAAATGAGGGACGGAGAACCTGACGGCGGAGAGGAGCTGCGTTTGGTTGAAGACTTGAACGAAAATCTTACACCGGCCTCCGATGCCCCAAGTGCTGAGATCACTCAGTGACTTCTTGCCCCAGATGAACTGTAGGTTATCCAAGTTTTGGCTCAATTCTTGGTCGCCCAAGCTTCTACTACTGCATGTAAAGGGTTTTCGAAGAAGATGATGATGAACGCGTGACGCAGACATTGCCATCGATGAAGCTTCAGGAATCAGGACACTCTGAATTGTAATAACTGATGTACTGATGGCAAATTATTGTATGGGCCGTGGTACACACAGCTGTGTGGACAACAGCTTAAAAAGACATTAATTGAAATTTTTATGAGTTAAAATAATATACATGTCAAGCATCTTATGGAGGTCATGAGATCAAATCTCAGTGGAGGAGTTGTTGACTCTTTGTGTTTCATTAAGTTGAGAAAGTATGTTTGAACAGAAAGTATAATGTAATAAAGTCAGTAGCATTTAAAAAAAAAATGTGATTTATGTATTTTAATAATTATAAATCCAAACTCTCAAATGTCAAACTTAAAAGAAATAATGAAGGGCGTCCATTGTTACGCGTTTGGGTGGGTAATCTCAAGATGTTTAATGAAGGCATCACTGAAACGGAGTATATATAATTAGTACGTATGTATACAACGATGAAATGAAGAAATTTAATAATCACGCTACATAATTAGTGTGAAGGGAATCCCGTGTCTCTGTACAATAATTTTCTCCTCAACTCTTCACAGTTGAAAAATGTAAAGTTCGGTTAAAAATGACAGTACCGCAGTAACTGCATTCAAGAATCGTTATATGACCGTCAAGATATTACACATTCTGTATGATCCCAGAAGCTTGGGCATACCCTGCCAAAAGTTTAATAATTTGTGTAGTTTTCCTGCAACAAAATGAACAAGAAAATCAGCAAGTAACCTCATCCCTGTTGCCATTAGAGACGCCAATTTAGAAAACAGCAGGAAAAATCCATCACGACGAATGGGGATGTGGTTATTCACTAAATGATCCGCTACTTTCAACAAACACAATTTTACTAATTTTTAGCATAATATATGAGCATTTTAGTTGGGAATTGGGATTACAACTGGATAAATCTAACAACTCCTTTATCAAATTGAGCTCCTCATCCTCAGTTTCACTCTCATAATCTATCTATGGCCATTTACTTGCCAGTTTAATATCCACGCTCTATTTTGAAGGGTTTTGTGAAGTACTTAACTAAAAGGCAGAATTTATATTCTGTTGAATTGTCATGTGTATGAATCAAAATGGGCACATTTAAAGAAAAGCAACCAAGCCATTTATGAGGAATAGTGCAAGTTTAAGAAAACAGTAGTTAGTACATACATTAAGTTGGAAGAGGGGACATCTCAACTGGATCATCCAAGAATCCATTCGATAGACTTGAGCTTCGTGATGTATCTTTCTTAGTAAGGTCCAAGGATGTTGCTTCATGTATCCCTGAAATAACCAAATTTTTATGCATTAAGTCAAGAACAATGAACTAAAAGTAGTTAGTTCACAAACAAAGCCATATATGCTCTTTCTTGCTAAGACCATTATGAGCAACCACTTATCCATAAACAAGTCCTAATTATAGCAGCTAAAAATTGCAAAGCATAATCAATATATTGCTACTATGTGACAAAGTTTGAAACTTGAAATCGTATACCAGCTGCATTTCTAAACCTACTCTTTGTAGTAACCTGCCAAACTGTCATCATACAGGGTTTACAAAAGGACTCATTAATATGTTTAAGGAAATTTTAAACCATACATGATGTTGAATAACTGTCAAGTTGTCAACCACTCCATTAGCTAAGTTATGTTTCACATGACGTCAACAATCCATGTCATAAAAGTATGCTTCCCTAAGAGGATTACAAATACCAGATGGCAGAAGAGAAGCTCTATGGAAGTTATTGATATTTTCAAATTCATCATATTATTTTTCTGCATCAGATATAAGATTAGTAGAAAAAAGCCTTGTGTTTACCAAATCCCAAAATTGCTGCACATATCAGAAAACCAGGAAGCGAGAAATCCATTTTATACACAAATTCCATGACAATGATGCATCCTCCTGCAACCATCAAATGTCTTGGAGAAGAAAAAACCATTTGCAACCTACAAATAGATGAAATACAGGAAAACTTGTTAGGCTGGAGTTTAATACAGAACCAAGTTTCTTGAGAATTAAATGAAACACATAGTATGCAAAAGAATCTGATATGTCTTAACAATCAACTTTTGCACATTTTAACATCAAGGAAATTGTGTGGAAAAAGTAGCTAGTCTATTTCCAAAAACAAATAAACATAGACTTCATATAAATCATCAATGAAGAATTATCATATAAAAAAACCACAATATGAAGGACAGAATTTAGATAAGGTACCTTTCCTCTGCAATACTATCAATGTAGAATATCAATATGATGCCAAAAAGGATGGTGCTTGTAAAAGCCCATGCAGAAAATGGCAATTCTATGCTAGTTGATCCCTGAAGAACTCCCATATAAGGAAAAATAACAAATCAGACAATTGCAAGTACAGCTAGTGGCATCCATTTGATAGCTAAAGAATGCTCATAAATTGTCTGAAGTAGAATGTTAATGAATATACAACAAAAGAGCATAGAACTAAACTCACTATAATCATGTCCCACATGGCAATTGGAAACAAAAAGCATGTTGCAGAAGCAATTGTTATGGCATTGAGTCGCCTCTTCAGTTGATTCTGTGTACATGGCACGCTAGTAAGTACAAGGTCATTGAACAAGACAACAAGATGGGATGGGAATTGGGATTACTCAATACCTTAAGGGACACCCGCCTAGCGATCACCCTTTTCAATGCTGATAAGATTCCAGCAATGATGGGGATTAGCATTTCCTTCATTCCTATAACTTGTTCCGTTCGTGCCTCGTTACCATCAGGGCTATCACCAAATGGTATCTTGTATGTTAAGTTCATTATGTATACTATGATTGTGAAGATAGGGCAAATAAACTGGCAAATCCCAAATCCCTATCAGTCATGTAAAATGAGTTTGCAAGCAATCAAAGGATATAAATTGGTGAATATGTGGCCATGGCCCATCCTTGAGATAAAAAGTAGAAAGATGCCAACATTGCAATGAGTCCACCCACCTGATGAAGATGATGGAAAATTTTAGCTAATGAATACATAGGAAGGAAGCAGGGAAGCAGCGAAGCAGGCAAAAGTAGAGATTTCCATTTGATGCACTATGTCAAACCCTTGGTAACCAGTTTTATGTGACAGCTAAATGCAATTTGAATATGGTATAATTTGTATTCCTGTAATATTTTCCAGTTTTCTCCCTCTTTTTTTTCAAGGAATATTAAAAATCTGCTATGGTTCAGAACAAGTGTCTGCATTTCCAAAGGTGACCCAAAGATAAGTTATATGTGTTTGTGTTAGACAAGCAAGTCAGACAATAGCTAAATAAGCATACTTTTTTCCAGACATGGCCCTTCCTCCCATACAGTACACCAGATAATACTCCAAGAACAGCACCGGAATATTCAGCTAATATGGCTCTGAAATGGGCAAGAATCCAAATATTAAAAGATTACACAAATAATACAGGATGATTAAAAAAATAAATAAATAAATAAAAAGGGTTTCCCACTGTTGTAATTCAGGCACACTCTTATATACAAGTTAAAACTATGAAACCCAAACACAAAACATAAATGTTTAACCACTTCTAAATTTCTAATTAATAAAATAAAGGCAATTTAATAGTGATTCTTACACTACATTTTCTTATTCTGCTTTCTGTTTAATTCTAAAGGTCAGCTACAAATTCAAGATTCCCAGGTTATCCGTAATATTTTGATATAGTTGATGGGGAATATCCAATTATACTTGTTAAAATGCAAGAAAGCATTTAAACCACTTACACCATTTCAAAGTCCAGTTCTGAACCCTGTGTCAATTTTAGTTCCACAAATGTGACACCATAATATAGAAACTAGATTGACTAAACTGTAAGATCCATAGTTGGACATTATTATCAGAATCACACAGACATTGAGATTATATATCATAGATAATGGAACAACAAATCATTGTTTAAGTTGTCCATAAGGATATCAAATAGTTCCTTCCTTTAAAATCACTTTCCACATTGATCTCTTGACATGTTTAAAGTGTATTAGCATGTAACATAAGGTACTGACACCTCTGAGCATAACACTTACCGAACAGGGCCACAAGATTTAAGGCCCTTACCCCACATGGTGAGGTATAGTGCTGTAATGGCACCATTTATTACTGAAGGCACTACCTGTAAAGAAAATAGCAGTGATAAGAAGCAGGTGTAACCACTAACCAGAACCAATTTAATTGCAAATTTGGTTGATTGCCGACAATCAAGAAAAGGAACTAAAAATCAGGGGGTTACTTCCACAAAACCTGTGTATTAGACAGTGGCCTGCCCTTCCAAGGCTTTTGCATTATTAAAAATATGATGCAAGAAGGAACGAGACAGCTGAAGATAAAAAGTACAACGGAAGCCCGAGTCTGAGTCAAATAGCGATACATTGAGTAAACAGACCATATGCTCATGAATTTGCCAATAATATGGATTATCTGCAAGGGTGTTTGCCTGCATTTTAACCTCCATATCATCAGTACAGGCATATGAGGCAAGTAAGAGGTGCCTAACCTAGAGGGACACTTCGTTATAAACACAATTAACAATGCAATTTTTTGCCATAAACTATAATCTTCTCGCAGACTGCTTAAGTAAAATACTAAAACTCTCATTAACGCTAAAGTAAATGACGTAGCAAATAAACTATAATCTTCTCAAACCACAATGCAAGCCTAGACTGCCAGTGCACTTTCCATTATTGTAAACAAACAAAAACCGCAAAATTTGCATTTCCGTAAATTCCTCTTCTGTTTGAACTTGAACACTAAGTATGAAACTAACGTAAGTCGTTAACATTTCAACATTCCTCAATAATTAAACGAAGTAGTTCATCAGAAGACACAGCAGGAATCAAATGTCGCATCATCATAAGAATAAAAACTAGCAATAATGGTAATAAAATAACGGATTTGCAATAAGAGTAGAACTGAGATTTACCTAAGACTGGCGTGATGAGAAGAGCCACCTCGATCTTCAGAAATTGGCTTCGGGGACATCATTTTCAGTACAAACTTCGGTATAATAATCGATTAGTGGTTGACTATCCTAAGCTTGGTGGTAAATTTCGATCTGGAAACTGAATTCGGAAATTATGCTTTGCAGTTTGCAGAATTGAAGATTCATTGGCTTGGTTAGTTTAGTGTGGTGAGAAATCTGGAGTTGATCTACAGCCAGTGCCAGAAGCAAAGAGAAAATTATCTTGGGCTGTTCATGGTAGATCCGTGGTTTCATCGCCCAGCCTGCACTTCATTTTGGGCAATCAGCCCATTTTACAACTTCGTATCCGTAAGCCCATGATCCACGCAAATTATTATGTGGACTCGGGTCCACATTGCAAAGTGGACCCATGTTCACAATTTACTTTTTAAAAATTCGCAATTTGTATACTATGAATACACAATGTTAACATTTATGTAATTGATTACCTTGTTTTGTATTCACAAATTTCTTTCAGATATTGCAATCACGCAATATTAACATTAGGGATGGTAATGTATCTCATCCACATCCACTCCGTCCCCATAGGGGACGGGGACGGGGACGGGGACGGAAAAAAATTTCGAGAATCGAGGACAGGGACGGAGAATTTTTTAAATTTTCCACCGGGGGATTGGAAAGACGATACCCCTCCCCGCACTGCCCCGTCCCCGAAAATTAAAAAATATATATATTATATATTATATATTATATTAGGAATTAGATTATTAGTTATTTAGTAAATTAGTTTTATTAGATTTTAAAATTACAATTTAAAACACAGTCAGTACTATGCAACTATTTAAACACTATGTGTATATTGGATGAATTGAAATTTGGAATATATTGAATATTGATTACATTGCATTCACTGTGAATAGAATGTGTATATATCAGATTAATTAGGTTATTAGAATATATTGACTATGAATTTCAATTTTTTTTTATTTTTAAAAATTGTATTACTTTCACACATTGATTATGGATTAATTGGGAATGGGGATTCCCCATCCCCTGAGGGAGAATTTTTTCAATTCCCCGTCGAGGACGGGGACGGGGTCGCGGGGACGGGGACAGGGAGTATACTCCTCACCCCATTGCCATCCCTAATTAACATATTATGATTTGACGACCCTGTATTGTATTCACAAATTTTCTTCTACAGATGTTATATGTTTTGACTTAGAAACACAATTTATATTCTATAAATTCACAATTCCAATACTAAAAATACACAATTTATCCATCCTAAAATTTTTTAAAAAATTTGTCAAATATGTCCCTAAATTTTATTTAAAAGAATTAATTACATTTTTAAATTTAAAAAGTTATAAATTTTTTTTTCAATGCTACAAGCTCTAACCCTCCATTAAGGCTCAAACTCACAACCTTTCAAATGAAAGTCTAACCCCGTGTACCATTAGACTACATAGTCTTGATTAAAAAGTTATAATTTAATACATAAACTCCTCAAATGATTTGATAGTTTATTTAACTTAATGCAATTTGGCCTATTAATAGGTAAATTTCATGTGATAATTGGTTATTTGGTTATATGTGTTGCTGGTCAGTTTTAAATAAATAATTTTAAAATTAAAATAAAGGGTTGCCTTCTCTAGAGATTAACCAATAATGTCTCTACTGAGGCTCAAACTTACAACCTTTCAAATGGAAGTCCAACACAAGTACCATTAGACTACATAGTCTTGGTATCAATAATTAGTTTAATTGAATCAAATTGATGTGTTTAATGTATTTAGGAAAAAGTGTCAAATAGGCCACTGAACTTTTACACATTGTACAATTGAACCATCAAACAAAAAAAGAATAAGAGCCAAATAAGCCATCTAACTACACAAGAAAATGCAATTAGGCCACTGAACTCAAAAAGAATGTAAGTGGGCCACTGAACAACGCAAAATGTTGCAATTCGGCCAAAAATGACATGTTTACTTGTTAACTTGCTGATGTGGAGGTTATCATATTAAAATAATATTTTTTTTATTTTATTATAATAATTTAAAATAACAAAAAAAAAAAAAAAAAAAACAGGTTTGCCGCCGGAGACGAAGAACCATTCTTCGTCTCCAGGCTGCCGGAGACGAAACGTAAAATCCATTTTTTTTAGGGTGTGTTTGGAAACCTGGAAAATGAGTTCTGGAAATCATTTTCCAAGTTTCCAGTGTTTGGATGTGCCTGGAAAATCAAGTCAACGGAAATCATTTTCCGTTGACTTTGGAAAATAGGCTTGTTTTGGAGGAAAATGACTTCCCCTTTTTTTGGGGGGAAGTCATTTTCCAACTTTTACACCAACATCACACCACCACCAACATCATCAACACCACCACCATCACCACCACTATTGCCGCCGCCACCACCACTATACCCCGCCACCATCACACCACCACCACAACCACCACCAACACCGCAACCACTACCACCACCACCACCACCATACCACCGCCACCACCACCACATACCACCGCCACCACACCACCACCACACCACCACCTTCACACCACCGCCGTCGCCACCACCACCACCATACCACCGCAACCACCGTCGCCGCACCACTACCACCATACCACCGCAACCACCGCCGCCGCCACCACCACCACCACCACCACCACCACTACAACCACTGTCGCCGCTACCACCGCCACCACCACCATACCACCACAACCACCATCGCCGCCACCACTACCACCATATCACCGCCACCGCCATCACCACCATACCACCGCCACCACCACCACCACCACACCACTGCCATCACACCGCCACCGCCGCCGCCGCCACCACCACCACCATACCACCGCAACCACCGCCGCCACCACCACCATCATACCACCGCAACCACCGTCGCCGCCACCACCACCGCAACCACACGACCACTGCCACCACCGTCATACTACCACCACCATCACACAAACACCACTACCGCCGTCGCCGCCACCACCAGCATACTACCGCAACCACCGTCGCCGCTGCCACCACCATACCACCGCAACCACCGCCACCACCATCACACCGCCGCCGCCGCCACCTCCACGACCATACCACCGCAACCACCACCGTCGCTACCACCACCATACCACCGCCACCACACCACCACCGTCATACCACCACCAATTATTATTATTATTATTATTATTATTATTATTATTATTATTATTATTATTATTATTATTATTATTATTATTATTATTATTATTATATAACGAATAACACCACTACCACTACACCACCACCACCACCACCATAATATTTTTGATATATTATTAATTTTTTTTTTTTGAAAAACTTAGCTATTTTTTATTATATTTAAAATTAATATTATATTATTATATTATTATACATGTTGTAATATTCTAAATAAAATAATTAAAATGTTTAATTATACAATTCTACTCATTTTCCAGAAAATGAACCAAACACAGAAAAACAGTTTTTCATAATGCAACCAAACACTGGAAAGGAAAATGTTTTCCGGAAAATGACTCATTTTCCAGAAAACATTTTCCAGAAGTCATTTTCCTGCTTTCCAAACGGACCCTTAATTTAGTTTTGTTATTTTAAATTATTAAAATAAAATTAAAAAGTATTATTTTAATATGATAACCTCCTCATCAGGTAAACAAGTTATTTTTAGCTTAATTGCAACATTTTGTGTTGCTCAAGGACTCAATTGCACTTTTTTGAGTTCAATGGTCTGATTGTATTTTCGTGTGTAGTTCGATGACCTATTTGATCATTATTCCAACAAAAAAAAATGCAATTAAACCATTAAAAATTTAAAATTTGTGGGAATAAGGATCAAAGAGGTCATTGAACTACACCAAAAAATGCAATTAGGCCATTGAACTAAAAAAGAATGCAATTGGCCCCTGAACAACGTAAAATGTTACAATTAAGCAAAAAAATCTGTTTACCTGTTAACTTGCTGATGTGGAGGTTATCATGTTAAAATAATAATTTTTTATTTTATTATAATAATTATAATAATTTAAAATAACAAATATAAAAAAAAAAAAAAAAAAAAAAAAGGGGTTTGCCGCTACGTCTCCTCGCTGCCGGATTCTTCATCTCCAGGCTGTAGGAGACGAAGACTGGTTCTTCGTCTCCGACCGCGGAGACGAAACAGAAAACCTGTGGTTTTCTCTCTCTCTCTCTTTTTTTTTTTTAAAAAAAAAAATTAGTTTTGTTATTTTAAATTATTAAAATAAAATTAAAAAGTATTATTTAATATGGTAACCTCCCCATCAGATAAACAAGTCATTTTTGGCTTAATTGTAATATTTTGTGTTGTTCAGAGACTCAATTGCACTTTTTTTTTTTGAGTTCAATGACCTGATTACATTTTCGTGTGTAGTTCGATGACATATTTGATCCTTATTCAAAAATTGTGCAAATAACATTTTTTATAATTTACTTCCAAATTTTCTTATGTCATAATGTCAAATTATATAAAAAAAAAAAATTATTTTAATTATTATTTTTAAAAATTAAAAGAAAAAAAGAAGTAATTTTCTTTATCATCTAAACGAATCTGAAGCTGCTCAAACATGTCTTCATATATATGATATATCATCTCCATACGCATCACAAAATCAGGTGGCCTCCCCCCATTAACCATCATTAAAAGAACCTTCTCTGCAACCAACCCTTTGATAACTCCCTGCATATTAATGTGGACCAAACCAGTGAATGACCTGCATATCAAAGATATATAATAAAAAAGATATATTCATGCAAATGTTCCCTTTGGTCACTCCCTTCCAAACCAGCAAATGTACGTTCTTGGTTTGGCACTATCAGAGAGTGACCAAAGGGAACATTTGCATGTGGAAGGGAAAGAGAGGTCATTTTGTTTATATCTCTGGAGTGGTCCACATTGATATGTAGGGAGTGACCAAAGGGAACATTTGTTGACTTCAACAATTTGTTGCTGGCCTCTCTTCACCTCTGTTGGTTCATTTGCAAGAACATTTTTCAAGTGATCAAACAATTCTGTTCCTTTGCCTGGCAGGAGCCAAAGTCGGGGCCTGCATCCTGGTGGTGCCAAACCAAGGCACTCTGTTTAGTTTCTATTGAGGAGCCATCAATTGCATAAGTGTATTGTGAGAATTCATGGGGAACAAGCTGGGGGAGAAGAAGGGTATATGAGAATGGCGAGAGACACTTATGACTTATGAGGGAGGACTCTGGGGAGAAATATGAGTCAT